TGAACAACTTGTCCTGCTGGATGAAGGACAAGTACACGGAGAAGAACCTGGTAAGCGGGGGGAGGCGAGGGAGAGGATGGGGGGAAGGACCCACCGCCTGCTGGACAGAGGTGGGTGGGATGTGGGCATGGAGATGGAGGCGCAATGAAGTACTCCTGACGTGGTGGGTGTCCTGCAGGTGACCTGGCTGGACTCGGCCTTCATCCGCAAGGACCCGTATGGGGTGGTGCTCATCATCGCGCCCTGGAACTACCCCATCTACCTCCTCCTGGTGCCCCTCATCGGGGCCATCGCTGCCGGTGAGCCAAACCTGTCCCCTGGCCCGGCGGATCCAGACACTGCCAAGGGCACCTTGTCCCCAGGCTGGGGTGGCAGAAGGGCTGGCTGTCACCGTGTGGCTGGTCTGATGTCCTGTCTATCTGCCCCCAGGTAATTGTGTCATCGTCAAACCCTCGGAGATGAGCAGGAACACTGAGAGACTCGTGGCTGAAGTGCTGCCGAGCTACCTGGACAAGGTGAGAAGCTCTTGCTGTCCTTAAGTCATGGCTCCTGCAAACATGGAGCTGTGCCCTGTGCCCCCCCAGCACCGTGCCTGCTTCGCACACACCACCACTGCACCATCCATGGTTTCAGGTGCTGCCGTACCTCCTTCCTCCATGCTCAGCCGGTGTCCACATGCCCGGGATGCTGTTGGTGGGGACGAGGACGCAGTGGCCCGGGCAGATGCTGACAGCGGGGGACTCTTCCTCTTATATTGCAGGACTGCTTTGCCGTGGTGACCGCCGGCGTGCAGGAGACCACCAGGCTGCTGGAGAACAAGTTTGACTACATCTTCTACACTGGTACGTCCCGCGGGTCAGAGCAGAGCCCTGCCTGGGTTTTTTAATGGGGTGAGGGAGGGGGATTCCCACCAGACACCCCGCTGTGGCTGACCCTGCCACCAACGCGAGAGGGTGGCAGACCCTTCCCTGCCCTCTGAGAAGGCAGGGCTTGTGTTGGGGATCTGGTGTCGGGATCTGTTGGAGGATCTTCCACCAACGTGTCTGAGGATCGAATAGCCATAACTGGGTTTTGTCACGGCTGAGCTGGGGAGGCCATGGTTGAGCTGGAGAAGGTGTGGGAGGTGAGGGCTCAGCTGCATGCCACACACTGAGGTGGGTGCAGGACAGGAGTGGGACTTACAGAATCAGAGAATCGTTTTGGTTGGAAAAGACCTTTAAGACCATCAAGTCCAACCGTTAACCCAGCACTGCCAGTTTACCACTAAACCGTGTCCCTGAGCGCCACATCTGCTCATCTTTTAAATACCTCCAGGGATGGCGACTCCGCCACTTCCCTGGGCAGCATGTGCCAGAGCTTGACTTGACATGTTTTCCCCAGCCCTGACTCCTCAGAAGACTAAGGCCATGATTTGGGCTGTAGCGTGGTGGGATCCTCACCGTGATCCATCTTTTCCTGGCCCTCAGGCAGCACCTCCGTGGGGAGGATCATCATGACAGCCGCTGCCAAGCACCTGACACCGGTGACGCTGGAGCTGGGGGGCAAGAACCCCTGCTACGTGTCCGACACCTGCAACGTGCAGAACGTGGCCCAGCGGGTGGCCTGGGGCCGCTTCTTCAACGCGGGGCAGACCTGCATCGCGCCCGACTACGTGCTGTGCAGCGCGGAGATGCGGGAGAAGCTGCTGCCCGCTCTGCGTAATGCCATCGCTGATTTTTACGGCCCCAACCCTCGGGAGTCCCCCGACTTTGGCCGCATCGTGGGGGACAAGCACTTCCAGCGGGTGCAGGCGCTGCTGCGCAGCGGGCGCGTGGCCATCGGAGGAGAGGTGGACGACAGGGAGCGCTACATCGGTGAGGGCTTGAACTTCACTTAAGTCTTAATCTTTGCATTGAGTGGACTTGGATTTTGGAGAGGGTCTCACAACTGGAAGGGAGGTTCTAGATGGAAAGGACATTTAGGGAAGGTTTGCGTGGGAATCAGGGAGCTTGGCGAGGTGTCCTATCTTAGAGGAGATGTGGGTGTCAGGGAGAGGACTAAAGTGTCATCTCCAACCTCTGTGCATGGCTGAAACCTTTGAGTTTTTTCTTCTGCAGCTCCCACGGTGCTGGTGGACGTGAAGCCCTCTGATCCTGTCATGCAGGAGGAGATCTTCGGTCCCATCTTGCCCATCGTCATTGTGGCCAACGTGGATGAAGCCATTGACTTTATCAACAGCCGTGAGCGGCCGCTGGTCGTGTATGCCTTCTCCTCCAACGACAAGGTAGAGCATGCAGGCTGTGTGAAGCCAGCGCTCCACTTGCCCCATGCTCCTCGGCAGGTGTATTCAGCCACGTTCTCCAAAAATTCACTTTAGAGGAGACAACCCTGGTTGTGGGGGAAGGATTGCGGCTGGAGGTGTGGGAACAGGGTGCGAGACCCATGTCCACCTTCTCTGCTTCTTTCCCAGGTGGTGAACCAGGTCCTGGAGCGGACGAGCAGCGGTGGCTTCTGCGGCAACGACACCCTGATGCACGTGACGTTGACCTCGCTGCCCTTCGGTGGGATGGGTAGGTCCAAATCCCCCGAGCTGCTTCTCCGTGGCCAACGCGAGCCAGGCGCGATCCTACCCACGGTGCCCGAGCCGTGCTGGCCGCGGTGAGGAAGGGTCTCAGGGGAGATGGAGCCCCCAGGCCTGAGCCACAGGTCCAGAGGGCTCAACGGTCCGTGGGGAAATCGTTCTGCACCAGATAGGATCCCACCAGAAGCTCTTTGCTTCGCTGCGCCGTGGCTGAGCTCTCGGGCTTTGCAGCCCCGTTTCTGCTGAACACGTGTGGAGCACCGTGAGGTTTCTTCTCTCTATGCTTGGCCTCCCAAGCCCAGTGTTCCCTGTGCACGTGGAAATGTCTTGTTTAAAAGGTAGTGAATTTTGAATGTGGCCACCACAGAAACATCTCCAGACCTTCCTTTCCACAAGCAATGCCTCTGTAGGATGCCGGCAGCCAGCCCGTCACAGCCATCCCGCTGCCGTGCTGCCCTTTTTCTCTGCAGGACAAAATGTGGAAATTTTGTCACTTATCCACAGTTTTCGGGAACTCAGAATTTGAGTTTTCCATGGATCTCCATTTTGGACTCCCAAACGTACACGCGTTCCTTTATATAAACTCCTGAAAACCGCAGGGGATCCAGATGAGGGTCAAAAACTTTAGAAGCATTTGCCACTCTCCCGTCTCAGCACTAACAAATCCCCCAAGGGTGCTGTTTTTAAGGCAAATATGTGCAATTTCTGATGGTCCTCTCCGCCGCGTCACACAAAGCTTTTGTAAATCAGCAGACCCCGAAAAGCTCTGGATTTTATTCTGAACCTTTTGCTGAAGTTTCCCGCTGGAGAAAGGTGGCCGAGGAGGCTGTCGCTCCGCTTCCCGCAGTATGACAGTCTTCTCCGGATCTTCACCAGCCACCGGCAAGGATTGCCTGCAACCCGAAGGAAGGAAATTAAGGTTTCCCAGGGAAGTGGTTGAGTCACCACCCCTGGAAGTGTTTAAAAAGACGTGTAGACGTGGTGCTTAGGGAGCCGACTTGGCAGCGGTAGGTTTGCAGTTGGACTCAATCTTCAAGGTCTTTTCCAGTCCTAAAAGATTCTATGGCTCTCATATCAGCTTTAAGTTGTGCAGCTCATGTTTCAGATGATGTATGGGATTCTGAGGTCCCATGGGATGTCTTCTACCCAGAGCATCAGCTGAAAAACACACCTTTCCTTCTTTTAAAGACTTCACAACAAAGCTAGGTCTTGTTCTGCATTCTTCCACCACAACCCTCTGCAGATGCATGAGTAAGAGCAGGGCAAGCACGCACGGTATTTCTTCTTGAAAGTCTTCCAGCCTCCATCCGTTTCCAGTTCAGGTGATTTGCTAAGCCAGAAGGGTCCTGCGTGTTCGGTAAAGGGTGCTGGACTCCAAACTTACCCAGGCTCTCCTTGAATGCAGAGGAACTTTTAGTCACCCCTGTGACATGGCATTTCACAGCTCACAGCACGTTGGGGCTGTTTCTCCTGGCCTGCTCTGGATGTCTGCTTAGGCTGAAAAAACATGTCCAGAAGTGCTTCTCTCTTCCCTTGGAGAGGAAAGAGGGTACACCCACTTTTGATCAGATGATCTTCACTACCGTGGAAAACCAGCTCTGGTTCTCCAGCCCAGACTAAGCCGCTCAGCTGGCCAAGAGCCATCCAGTGACCTCCGTTCATCCTGCGGCTGCTGACGTGTGAGATACCAAACACAATTCATCAGCTTTACCAGGAATTGCATTTTATCAGGAAGACTGGTCAAGCTCAGGCTGACTCATGAAATTCTATCACACCAGTTATCAGTTTTTCTGCCAGCCTGCTTGGCTTCCCCATGCTTGCTTGGCTTTTACCACCCAACAGTCATTCCACCCGTCCTTGGAGACGGGTGACATCCTCACCACAGCCACCTTGGCAATCGCCCTTCTCCAATCCCAGAGTCTCGCCAGCAGCAGGGCTGGAGCCAGCGCGGAGGGGACGTGTTTTGGAGGGTGTCCTTGCGGTAGGGAAGCACAGCTGGTGGGAGCATCTCGCTTCTGCTGCCCTCTCCAGCACCACATCGTCAGTGGTGCCACTCCCAGTTGCTCTGGTGCCAGCCAAGGTTTCGTGATCAAAAAAAGGTGGTTTCGGTGGTGTTGGTTTTTTTGGGTTTTTTTTTGTTTTTTTTTTTTTTTTTTAAATCAATAAAGTTTTCAGATTTAGAGTAAAAAGAGAAGAGAAACTTGAGAGGGGATGTAGGAACCACCCGGAAAAGAAGAGCTGAAGATATAGAAACAGGACCAGTTTTCTTTCCTGAGTGTTTTAGGTGCTCAAGCATCCGTGGAGATGGGGGACGCATCTCCCAGCATCCTCAAGGGCATCTGTTAAATAAGCTGTACCTGTTTCAGGCTGGTATAAAACACCGCTTCCTCCCTGGAGGATGAGGATGGGAGGGCAGCGACCAGCGCTCTCGCTGCCTGTTCTCTGCCACGCCGCCTTTCCGGGGTCCCCCCCTCCCCTCCACTGCTCCCATCCGCCAGCAAAGTGGGGACACTTTGGACTCCTCTCCCCAAAACAGCAGGCTGACGTGAAAGGCTCCAGCCTTTGCCTGGTTTCCTCGGCTCAGAAACCCTCCAAGGTGCAGTCCCTCCTGTTGGGAAGACAACGTTTTGGCAAACTCGTCTTCTATCAACTTTTTTCTCAGCCTGGTTTAATGTGGTGAGCTTTGCCGAAACGTGTTACCTGAAATGGTGAAATCCAGACCAACAAGAGGGTTGTTGGGAACCTTTTCTCCTCCCCGCCCAGTCTTCCTCCTCCAAACATCCCTCAAGCGCCATTTGGGTGTCCAGCTAGGCCACCTCCACGGTCCTCTTTAGATCACATTCCAGGGAAGTGCAACCATGGGCCAGCCCTCCCCACCGACTGGTGTCAGAAAGCAGCTGGTTGAAGACACGGTGCTGTCCACAGACACAAGCGGTCTCCATCACCACTGCCTCCTCTGTGCTGCCCTTGAGAGGGGATCTGGGAGCTTTATTTTGGGCTCGTTGGCCCAAACGGTGGGCGAGCGATGGCCAGATCCTGCCACCAACAGGGGACCTGTGCTGTGTGTTGCAGGAAACAGCGGCCTGGGGATGTACCATGGCAAGTTCAGCTTCGACACCTTCACCCACCACCGTGGCTGCCTGCACCGTGGCATGGGCCGGGAGATCCTCAACAACCCGCGCTACCCACCCTACACCCAGAAGAAGATGGGGCTCACCCGGGCCGCCTCGGAGGTGAAGCGCAAGAGTGCCTGCACCCTGCTCTGAAGGTCCCATGCCACCAGTCGTGGTGCCATGTAAAATGAAAGGTGTTTCCCTCCAACCGGTGGCCTCCTGTGTGCTTCCCTGCCTGCTCCTCCGTGTGCCCCACACAGGTCCCACAGCCCCCTTGCTGGCTGGATGTGTTCCACCCCCACCCGTTGCCACCAGCCTCCTGCTCCATCATTGCTGGCTCCACCACAGCAGAGAGGCGGAAGGGCTGGTGGGCTGCTCCGGGGTGATGCTGGTGGTCACCTCCTGCTACCCGTGGGGACTCTCCCCTGAGAAGATCCATGCCATCGTTCTCCTCCCAAATCCTTGAGCTGGAATGACCTCAGTTGCCTCTGCCCCATGCCCTGCAATTCATGGTCCCTTATCTCACATGGGCTGGCAATCTCAGTGTTCAAACAGGGACCTTGGAGCGAGCATGGGCAGCTGAGCCAAGAGGAGAGGGATGGGTAAGGTGCCACCAGGGATGGGAGACCTTCTCCTGCAGCTTTTTGGGGTGTGGTGTCCTCCAGAACCCCTCTCTGCTTTGTCCTGGTTGCTGTGGCTCCATCCTGGTGGGTTTCTGGGCTCTGTTGCTCCATCCCAGCTGCTCCTCCTCTCCTCTGGCCCTGCTACCCTCACCCCGTGCTCTGAAAATGGAGAAACCAAGCCAAACCCAGCCCACTGCTTCTCAAGAATGTCCCCGTTGGACACAGCCCACGTAGCACGGTGCATAGTCCCCGGGATGCAGAGGGACATGCCAGCCTGGTCCTTCACCAGTGCTGCTCCGTCCCCCAACCTGGGGGACTGGTTTTGCTGGGGAGAGGGGTCCCCCTCCCTACTGGGCAGAAGGGAATGGGGTGGCTTTGTCCACTGGCCGGTCAGCTGCGTCACCCAGCCCACACTCTGGGATTTTACCCACCTGGACCTGAGATTTTGCTTTTCCATGTCTCTCCCTGTTCCGCTGCGGGGTGGTGGCAAGTGGGTGAGTGCGCGTTTGATTGCTGGCCAGGGTCAGCCCACTGCCCCAGGGGAGCGGTGGCCTTTGGGTTTTGCTGTTATCTTCAGCTCAGCCTTTGGGGGTGCCCCTGGAGGGGACCCGCACAGCAGTTCCCTCTGGCTATGCAGGAACGGGATGAATTAGCTCTGGGGGAAGCCTTTGCTGACAGCAATTTGGGGGCCTTGTTCCCATCTCCGCCTCCGGAGTCATGCCTGTGTTGTTCTGTGTCTGGTGTAGCTGAAGCTCTTGAGATACCAAATCCATGTCTTCAACTGTGACCTTCCACCACTGGCATGGGGCGGCTGGGGGCCAGGCAGCGTGTCACGCTGTGGGTGGCACACCAGAGGGGTGGCTCTGCCACCCATCCTTGCAACTGCAGGGCCACGGGGTGTCTACCCCAGAAGAGACGGGCACATCTCTGCTCTGGTGAGACCCCACCTGCAGTAGCGTGTCCAGCTTTTGAGTCCGCAGCACAAGAAGGACACGGACCTGTTGGAGCGAGTCCAGAGGAGGGCACAAAGATGGTCTGAGGGCTGGAGCCCCTCTGCTGGGAGGACAGGCTGGGAGAGTTGGGGGGGTTCAGCCTGGAGAAGAGAAGGCTCCGGGGAGACCTCAGAGCCCCTTCCAGTGCCTAAAGGGGCTCCAGGAGAGCTGGGGAGGGACTTTTTACAAGGGCGTGGAGTGATAGGATGAGGGGGAATGACTTCAAACTGGAAGAAGGGAGATTTAGATTAGATATCAGGAAGAAATTTTTAACTATGAGGGTGGTGATCCACTGGCGCAGGTTACCCTGAGAAGCTCTGGCTGCCCCATCCCTGGAGGTGTTCAAGGCCAGGTTGGACGGGGCTTGGAGCAACCTGGGCTGGTGGGAGGTGTCCCTGCCCAGGGCAGGAGGGTGGGACTGGATGATCTTCAAGGTCCCTTCCAACGCAAACCATTCTGTGATTCTATGATCTTGCTACGGCTGCCGGGAGACTCTGTGACCTCTGTGAGGACAACCATCGTGGGGTGGCCATGATGACCTCCTGTGTGTCAAGGAGGGACTGCATCCGAGAGTGAGTGTGTGTGAGGAGTGGGAAGGGGCACCCACTGTGAAGGGACCCTGGTCCCGGCAGTGACAGACACGGGCGGTGTGTGTGTGACTCCCTGGGTGGGGTGTGAATGCTCGAGCAGCGGCTTCTCCTTTAATGCCACAGGGGGTGCTGTTCATCATCAGGCCCTGGAAATCCCCCGTTTACCTCCTCCTGGTGCCCCTCACCAGGGCCATCGCTGCCAGGGGGTACCAGAACCTCACTGGGGGGTGTCCTGTGTCCTCCCTGGACGGATGGACTACGAGCTGTGCAGCGTGGAGATGCAGGAGAAGCTGCTGCCCACTCTGCATAAGGCCATCACTGATTTTCATGGCCCGAACCCTCGGGAATCCCCCGACTTTGACCATGTCACGAGGGATGAGCAGTTCCAGAGGATACAGGTGATGCTGTGCAGCGGGCACATGGCCATTGGAGGACAGATGGACGTGGAGACACACTAAAGCGGTGAAGACACGGGGCAGGAGGGCAGAAGCGCAGGGTGGGGGTCTCGGGGTCCCGCTGGGCTGACAGCAGCATCCCCTCACCCTGGGTCTGGATAGCCAGAGGTGCCCACCCCAGGCGGGGACGCTCCTTTGGCCTTGTCCCCGGTCGTGGGAGGAGAGAGCGCCCGTGTCCCCGGCCAGGCGTGTCCCGGTGAGTCCCGGGCAGCGGGGAGGAGGCAGACAAGGGGTGCCCGGTGGGTGCTCAGCACCTCCCTTACCCTCACCCCCCCCGGGGGGGAACCGAGTGCGGGAGGGGACGAGCAGCGGCGGCTTCTGTGCCGACGATGCCACCGTGCACATCACGCTCACCTCACTGCCCTGCGGCGGCGGCGGTACGTTCATCCCCGGGAACAGGGGGCTGCGGGACGCCCCCGCCCGCTTCACCCAGCGCTGGCTCCCGGGGCAATCCTCCCCGGAGCCCTCCCAGCTCGGCCCTCACTCCCCGCCGACCCCTGCTGCCCGCGGCTGCGCC